TCCCCTATTAATTCTCAATAATATTAATTAATAATATCTCAATAATAATAAATTTATATTAATAGTATAAATTTATTTATAATAATTATAAATTATAAGTGCACAACAAATTTTTTAATTGTTTATAATTTTGAAAAAAGTCTCAATAAATAATTACTTAATATTTTGATTAAATTCATTTATTAATTAATCATTATTTTCTAAAATAATGCAATTAATTATTGTAATAATTATTTAGTTATGACACATTTATTGGGGCGCATGATTATTCCTCAAATTTCAATTTCCTAATGTTCAAAACATCGAAATTCTTATCATCGAAACATCATTTCGCCTAATTGAAATTGAAATTTGAGGAATAATCATGCGCCCCACATTTATTGAAAATAAATTTATAATGTGATTTATAATGTGACAATAAATGACGGACATCCGCAGTCGGATCCGGCCCAGCACCGAGCCAGTACAGACTTAACATATCCGTCATTCTTCCGACGCCGCAGAAGAATAAGATCCGCCGGCGGAAGAAATCCAGTACCGAGCCAGTACTGACAATAGTGGGAAGACGGATCCGACAGTCGGAGCATAATCTGTACCGCGCCGGTTGCTTTTTCAGATCCGAATCGGTACAGACCGTCGGTACTTGCGGTCTGTACGGGCGCGGATCCCAGCCGGTTGTAAATTCCGACATTCGTCCGACTTTTCCGCCTGGGATATTGAAAATCATTGAATTGCAAAAAATTTTCAAAAATAATTAAATTTTACAAAGAATTCAATTAAAATTTTTGACAATAATTAAATTCTTGCAAACGATTTTATTGAAATTTTTTTAAATTATTGAATCTCCAAGAAGAAATTTATTACTTTTAAAACTAATTGAATTCTTGCGATGAATTTTATGATTTATGAACAAAATTGAATTTTACAAAGAATTTTATTGAAAGGTCTTAAAATATTTGAATTTTCAGGAATAATTTTTTTAGTTATCGACATAATTGAATAATTGAATAGATTTCTTTCGAACAATTTTATTAAAATATTTTAAAATAATGGAATTCCTGTAAAAAATTTTAATACTTTTGTAAATAATTGAATTCTTTCAAAGAATTTAAAAAAAATATATTTTTTTAAATAATTGATTTTTCGAGGAATTGAAATTAAATTTTTATAAATAATTACATTTTTCTTAACAATTCCTGTAAAATAGAATTCCTGAGAAAAATGTTTTATTTTTGGAAATAATTGAATTCTTGATAAGAATTTTATAAACAGTGTTTTAAATATTTCAATAATTAATTAATTTTTTTTTTAGTATAGTTTTTGATTTCTAGTGTTAGGGAATTTAAAGTAGTATTAATTCTAAAAAAATAGAAATAATACAGAGTTGCCACAAAAAATTAATTTTGTTTTTCCCTGACTTTTCTCTGATTTCCAGACAAAATTTTAACTTTTTCCCTGACCATAAAGAATATTCTGATTCACTTTAAAAATTATTAGATACTCAAAAAAAAACATTCTACTACATTTACTTACGAATTTCTTAAATTGTAAAATTATTCGCAAACATAAATAACTAAATTTTAAAATAAGTATTTAATTATTATTTTTCTATAGGAATTAAAATTCTTCAAAACATTCAAATTCAAAATTTTTTTTAAATAAACAACTTATAAGAATATTATTATAAAACATGAAGATATCAATTACTTTAAGTCTTCCACTGGGAGTGATTGATATCTTCATGTTTTATAAAAATTTTAATTTCCATTAAATTTTACAAAAAAAATTAAATTATTTACAAAAATTATAATAAAATTCGTTGCAAGAATTCAATTATTTTCATAAATAGTATTAAAATTCTTCACATGGTTTCAATTATTTTTAATACAATTTTAAATAAATTTCTCGAAAAATAAAATTACCTTCAAAAATTTTTTGCAACAATTAAATTAGGTTCACTTCACAAATATAATGAAATTCTTCGTTGAGATTCAAAATTTTTCAAAATTTACATTTTTAATACAAGTTTTCGAAAGAATATAATTATTTAAGTAAAATGTAATAAAATTCGTTGCATAAATTCAATTATTTTTACAAGTAATAAAATTTTTCACATGAATTCAATTATTTTAAAAAAATTGATAAAATTCGTTGTAAGAATTCCATTATTTTCATAAATTATAAAATGTTTCTGAGGATTTCAATTATTTATAATACAATTCAAAGTAAATTCCTATAAAAATGGAATTATTCTCTTAATTTTTTTTGTAAGAATTTAAGTACATTTCACGAATATAATGAAATTCTTCGTTGAAATTCAAATATTTTCACAATCAACTTTTTTAATAAAAGTTCTCAAAAGAATTCAATTATTTAAAAAAATGTAATAAAATTCGATGCAGAAATTCAATTATTTTCATAAATAATAAGATTCTTTACATTATTTCAATTATTTAAAAAAAAATTTGAAAAAATTCATTGCAAGAATTCAATTACACTCATCAATTAATAAAATTCTTCACAGAATTTCAATTTCAATTTAAAATTCTTTGAAAGAATTCAATTATGTATTTTATCAATTATGTATTTTTAAAAGTTCATGCTACAATGCTTTTAATATTCAATTATTATCTTAAATTTTAACTAATATTCATTTTCAAATAAATTTTTATTGAAAAATTCTACAAGAATTCAATTATTTAAATACAAAAATATATAATTTCCTGAATAAATAAATGTTTTTCGAAAGTAAATTATCATAAAGAATTTTATCAACAAATTTAAATTTTTTCGAGAAATTTTAATAAAATTTTGAAGAATAATTAAATTTTTTGAGGAATTCAATTATTTAAATTATATTAAAAATATAACTGAAATACAATGATGAATTTAATTATTCATGAAAATAATTGAATTTTTGTGAAAAATGTTATTATTTATGAAAACAATTGAATTATTGCGAAATTTGCTTAGAATTTTATCAAAATTTTTTTTTTAATAATTGAATTCTTTTGAAAAATTTTATTAAAACTGTATAAATATTGAAAATCATTGAGTTGAGAAAAATTATTTGAAAATAGTTGAAAATTAGCAAAGAATTTTATTAAAATTTTTGAAAATAATTGAAATTTGGAGAAGAATTTTATTATTATTATAAATGTACATCCCGAATGTTTAATCATTTCGTGATACATTGGAAACTTTTCGCTTCACGTATAACGTTGTATGTTAGCAACCCAACCGTAAAAATATTTTCGTGTGTTAAGTATCTTACAGCTGATAGTTTTACCGACAGTATGTAGAATTACGTAGCTGTCTGTAAGCATACATTCGAATATGGTATTTTTTGCCCGAATGTTTTTCTACACTGCGTGACGATGAAGTGGCATATAAGAAACTATGCGCATAGGCAAACGTTAATATTTTAATTTTAATTTATTAAAATTTCGACAATTTTAAGAATTTAAAGATTAAAGGAAATTTGTAAGGGTAAGTTCAAATTCTTAACATTTTTCATTTCTTAAATTTGAAAGATTTCTTTTTAATTTTTCATATATGGGTGATTAAATTTAAAATGTCATTTTTGATCCTACTAACTTTGATTTTTCTATGTTGGATTTTGAACTTAACGATACTCTATTTTGGTTGACTAGAATATATGATGGACAAAAATAATAGTGGTCGAGCAGGTGGAAGCAAATTTTAATTTTCACTAGGTGAAAAACGATAGGCAGAAATGATAAGAAATTTTCTGTTTTCGTTTATTCTTTTCTCAAATAAATTCTTACAACTTTAAAAAGTTAAAATATTTCAAATTACAATAATGAATGTTTCAACATGACTTAAAAAATATTTGTAATGAGTTCTGCCATAAATTAATATACTTTTGAAGACCAAAAAAACATATGAACATTGAGGGACACCACTGACATTTTTGAAAGATTTCACTGATAATTTTTTTTGAATAGTGAGAATAAAATCAGCCTATAAATTACAATCCAGTATCATATCTTCATTAACTGCATATAAGGAGTAAATTTAACACAAATTTATTAAAAATAAAATAATAAGCTGCAAGAAACAGAATTTTGAGGGGACACCACTGACAAGGGACACCACTGACATTTTGCTTCATTTCCCAATTTCGAAAAAGAAAGACTTTATTTTTAAGTTAAAGTCGGTGCAGTTTTTAAAGTACGTGTAATACCTAAAAACGAGATACAATAATATTAAAAAAATATTAATATTATGAACAAGTTTTCGATGGGGACACCACTGACATGGTGTGCTCGACAAAGTGATTCCTGCTTTCTGCCACTAACCGTGCAAGTTATAGATGTGATAGAATGTTGTAATGTTTTTTCTTTAAGAAGCTATATACATATCACCAATACTATTAACGCTTAATAAGGCAATTATCTGCACTAGGTTATTTAAATATCAGACATGATATTCAAAATTTGCGATAATCACTTAAAAATATGAAACTTACGGACAGGCGATTTTGATTTTTTTTCTAGCACTGCATCAAAATTATTCTGCTAGCACAATTACTATATAAAAATATAGACTCTTAGCTGTACAAAATAATTTTTCGGGTACTAAAAATGTGAGAATCAACAATTTTTATTATTAGGTAAAGTTCTGATTTCTTAAGTGCGGACAGGGGACACCACTGACATTTTGCTTCTAATTCTTCTGCCAAATTTTTTCAGAGAATTTCTAGCGACTAAAAATTATTAATTTAAGTAGAAGGAGTGATTAAGAAAATTAATTGACTTCAAAAACTTTTATATATGAACTATAGTATTCCAGATTTTTGGGCAGGACATGAAAATGACATTTTAAATTTAATCACCCATATATCAAAGTTAATAAGGTAATGTCTTTTAACCTAAAAAGAGACACGTTTTTAATGATTTTTTATACTTAAAAAATTTCATTCAACTATGTGAATTTTCTGTATGAAAATAATTTTCAAACATAAAAAATTTTTTCAGAATATCTTCATGGACTCTATTGCTTAAGCAGCTCGTATTTTTTTTAAATTAAAGTGGAAAAAGTATCTGTTTTTCCTGTTCAGGTAAGTAAAGCTTTTATTAGAATTTAATAATTTGGGAAAACCTTTATTTAAAAGTTAAAAATTGTCCTATTTTATGAATAATTAAAATTAATTCTAATAAGTTTGTAGTATTTTTATTATTTTTAACTAAATTGTTTAAAAGAAGTTTCAAATAAGAATTTTTAAAAATAAAGCTATTTTAATTTTTATATAGTTAATTTTAAAGCAATTTTAAGCTACTTTTTTATTACCGGAACTTTAACGAAGAAAATTATCTAATCCCTCTTTTTTATAAAGAATAAACTTTTTTTTTAATTTTTACGAAAACTACTCTTTTTAAATTCTTATTATTTTCATTGGAAAGTTGAGAATCTTTTGTAAAATAAAAAAATTTGTAACCGATACTAAGGAGTCATAGTTTAAGACTTCATGCAATTGTATTTTCTTTGCTGCAGGTCGTTTGGTTTTCTATCAAGGTTTGCTCATATTTAAAGACTGCATATTTCTGTTGGGGAATTCGTTAACTTTGTACAAATGACAAAAAAGCTACAAATGTGATTTGTATATTATAAAAATTTAATATATTTATTTATTTCTTACATTTTTCTTCTATTTCCTTTTTATAATTTAACCTTTATGTAATACAAAATAAATATAAAAAAGAATAATTTAAAAATGCCGCGAAATTATTATGTAAAATTACCTACGAGTGGTCGATTTACAATTTGATGCGAAATCACATAAGAGAGGTTATGTTACGAACGGTAAGTAAGTTAACATTCGGGCTGTAATAGTACTACGTCATACGTGAAGCGAAAAGTTTCCAACGTTACACGTTGTAAATTTACATTAGGCTTTTTTACAGTGTAGTTGAGTGCGAAGCCTGCAAAATTGTCAAAAATTGGAGGTTATGCGAAAGTAAACAAATTCAAAACAGGCGGAACGAACCAAAAAGTATTTTACTTTCAGTGGTTGGCAATTGCGCGTTGTTGTTCACTAAAACTTCTGTTGTGGACACGGAAGAACACGATTAAGAAACACGATTGAGGACAATAGACAATTATTTCTTATTGTTTTCAATTGTTTCCAATCGATTTTCTCTAGATGAGCATGAAACGCCAATGAATATTACAAATAAATAAATAAAAAATCTGTCCGCGCAAGCATACAGTGGTTTTTCGAGAAATTGACAGTTTAATGTCTATAAATATGTTTTTTGGGTGTATTTGGGTGAGATTATGTAAAAATAGTTAAAGTTACTTTTTATTCTTTGAAAATATTTTGATTTTTAGAGTTATTTTGGGATTTTTTAGTTTTTTTTACCATTTAAGAGCCTATAACTCTGAAATTTGACTTTTTATCAAAAAATGTTGTAGAGAAAAGTTGTTTTATTTTTCTAAGCTATCGTAATATGCAAATAAAAATTTGAAAATTTGAAAAAATTGATTTTTCAAAATTTTTAAAGTACTGTAGTTTTTGTATTTTTTAACGAAAATGGCTGGTTAACGAACTTGGCCTTTATTTTTGCACCAACTTTAAGTGTGTTAAATTTAAAAACGGTCGGATAAGTTTTTCAAGAGTTATCGTGGGAAAAAAAATTTTGGTCTACAGACAGACAGACAGACAGACGAACAGACAGACACCATCGCCGGACCATGTTTTTTGGGTTCAGGGGACCCCAAAACGTCGAGATTTCATGAAATTAGCAAAAGTCAATTTTCGACCAAAACTAATACTTTCTCATACGATGAGAATGTAAAAATGCTAACCTATATGCATTGCGTTCGCGAACGACATTCGCGAAGTAGTTGTGCTTAGGTCTTTTTACTTTTATAAAATAAGAAAACTTTTTTTGGGTAGAAATGGATAAGAAAGAATTTCAACATAACAAAAATTGATCTACTTTTACAAAAACAAAATTTCGAAAATTTATCCAAATGTGCAAAAAGAAAAAAAACGTACATATCATATATTTTTATAAAGAACGAGAAAAAAATATATTTAACCGAATTTAAAAGGTCATAGGTAAATTTCACGTGGAATCGCTCATACATTAAATTAATTCCCCATGCGCGTAGCATGTAAAAAAGGCACGACGAAAATACCAACTCTCTTTCTCCTTCTCCTGATACGATGCTATACTTGATAGAAACTTTGGCACTCTTTTCTAATACCCCCCCAAAAAAAGAAAAGAAATATGATTATCCACATACATCCTTCTAGATCTTCTGTCATTCCTGTGATGTTATTTTAATTATAGTTGTTAGTTTTCGAGACCTATACGTCTATAAAAGAATCTCCCCCTCTCTTTCTCTCTCTGAAGTTATCTCGCTAACCAAAGAAGATTTCGTCTCTCTCGTGACTTACTTCTTATCGCGGTTGTAATCCGGATACTTTTTATTAAATAGCCGCCGAATTCATCGGGACAAGAGCGGCCCGATACATTTAATTGCACTCAACCAATGTCAATAATAACAATTTTCAATGTGTTTCATAATTCCATAATAAAATTGCATTGAGGATCACTGGAATGAAATACTTCCTCATATTTCTCATTGCCCAATAGAAAGGGAACTGAAATTCTCAACAGGTTATTACCCAATCAGAAATTTCTCATGGGGCAAAAAAGTTGGTCCAATACTGGAAGCCAATATTCTATATATCAAACCAATAAAGTCATCCAATATTAGACCAATATTGGCTAATTTTTAGTATGCATTAGCTTATCAACGCACAATTTTCATTAATCTACGAATTATTTTTTAACACAACGCAGATAATTAGAGGAAGATTACAACACTAAAAAGAAGCATCTTAAAATACATTGTACACTTTTAAGATATTTAAGACATCTCACTTTTCGATCCTCCACCTTAAAGATGTTTCTAATCACTTTTTTTAAACAACTTAGAAGTGACTACAAGAGTATCTTAAATTAAGATACTTTCTTTTTACAGTGAACGCGATCAATTCTGCGTAACCAGCGCGACGTTTTTTGCTTTGGCACGCTTCATACCAACATTCGTTTCAAATTCTTATCACATACATTTGATTGTAATAATCCATTAAGGATATATTTTCTACATTTCTTAATTTAAACGTATAGTTGGGTCGAACTGCATGCACAACGTCGTCGATTCTGTAGTTAATGTTATTTTAAGCAGTCAATACATTAATTATTAATAATTTTCTCATGAAAGTAAGTAAGTAACTCTAAATTACAGCAAGAATTAAATTGAACAAATGTTACATATGAGGTTTAGTCTCAGCGTATATAAACTTCCAAAATAATAAAGAAATTAAACCTGAAAGAGAGAAATAATAGTTCTAGCTAATGCAAAATTAAAAATTTCGTAAATTTTTTACGAGTACAAATGCATAAGAGTGATTCTCCGCGTAGCGCACAATTTAATGTCCCTCATGTTTTTTAAGAAATCAGTTTCATATATTCTAATAAATTCAACGTGGATAACTTTTTTCCATGATAACAAATAAAAGTCTATAGTCGTTTTCATTTAAAAGTTTATAATTTTACTTAAAAATCTGTTTTAACCCTTTAACGACGAGATGTGCTACTTTTCAACATGAATTTTAATCTCTTACAATGTAGTAGAAAAAGCCATAAAAGTTTTTAAAAGTCCATACCCTACTATTTTTGGGGTCGCTCTTTCGAATGGTGTGGTCAAAATTTTCAAAAAAAATAATATTTAACCCTTCTTTTTTCAAAAATAGGGGAGAGGGCCCTAAGGTGGTCACCCATCTTTTGAACGACTGTAGATTTTAAATGGAATTATATATAAAGGTCAATAATACGGCGTTTGAAACTTTATCTTATTACCTAACTTCCTATCATAAAGTTTTTTTTATTTCATTAATAAAAAAAAAGTTATGGCACTTTTTAAAAAAAGTTGAAAATTCGACTTTTAAAAAAGTGGCCCCAAGGTGGTCACCATACAAAAATTCACTAAAAAAGTTTTAAAAAAATGTAAAAAACGTATTACTAAGTTGTTTATTTAATATTAATTGTTTTTCAGGATCACAGAAACATATTACATATTTTTTTTTGCACTTTGTCCTTTCGTCAAAAATGATACTTTTTGTGTATGTATTAGATAGGTAAAATTTTGAAAATAATTCTATTTCATTATTATTCATCATAAAACTTAAAAATTGATAAAATTCACATTCACAGTGACAAATGTTGATAAATATGGCGTATAAACACATTTTCATAAAAAATCAGAAGTGACCACCTTGTGGCCAAAAAAGTGTCCACCTTAGGGCCAAGACACAATTTTTTAAACGTTAATGAAAAAATTGTTTAAAGCACAATATTAATTATATTCATTTGGAATATTATTGTACGATATATAAAGATAATTATAACGATTTTTACTAATTTAAAATGGTTAATTTCGATGATTTTAACACCCTGAGAAAAAAATTTCTCGATCATTTAAAAACAGAAATTTTACGACGTTCACGTTACAAAGAGACTAATACGACTATTTACCTCAAAACTTTACTAAAATCTTTGTCTTCTCAAATAATAACAATAACAAAAAACATTTGAAGATACTATAACTAATATACAAAAATTTTCTTAGGGTGACCACCTTAGGGCCCTGACCATCTTGGGGCCCTCTCCCCTACTAAAAAAAGTCAAGTTTTTTTAATGTAATTCTTTTCAAAAAAAAATTTTTTTCTATCATAACACTTTTCAAATACAACAAAAAGTATCATAAACGTGTTTCCGATAGTTGTACTTGAAAAATATTTATTTCTAATTTTAATTTTTTTCGATTTTGAATTTAAAATGGCGCTTGAAGGATAAAAAATTTTCCTTATTTTACGTAAGATGACAAACTTTTTAAAAATTGATCAAATCTGATTAAAATTTGTTACTCGGGGGTTTTTGGGGTCGCTGATTACGAATCTGATATCAGATTATCAAAATTCAAAATGGCGACTTCACAGTTTTAAATTTTTTTGGAAAAATTTATATCACAATACTATTAATTAATTTAGATTCTACATTGAATAGAGATTGAAACAAGACCAAGAACGCTAAAAAAAGTTAATTAGTTTTCGAGAAATTAAAAAATTACGAAAAGCATGCAAAATCCATTATTTTTTCTGTATCTGACAGAATAGTCAACGAAAATTCTTCGATCAGGTGTCAATCTTTTCATAATTTCATTAGCTTTCAGGAAAAAAATACGAAAAAATTTTGTCATTTTTATTTTCTACGTTTTAAGCATTTTTCCACTCATGAAAAAAGGGGCGTCCTGATACTCACGGACGGTAATGTATTTTACGTCAAAACAAGTTTAGTGGTCTAAGGTTAGTGAAAACAAAAGACGTGGAAAAAAAGAATTTTTGAAATCGGTAATAATTTGTTTAACAAATTAGTTTTTCTTGTGCGTCATGGTGTAATCACAGCGTCATGGTCGAACCGCACTTTTTCATAGTAAGGCTTTTCTGTATTGAACTGTGTCACTGAAGCACTCATAAGTATAAGAAAGATTTTAAGTTCAGGTAAATAATGAGTAATAAAATTAATTTCTATAAATTACAGCATAAATTTTTATAAATTACCACATAAATTTATATAAATTACCGCATAAATTTCCACATATTTCCGAAATTTTTTTTCTCAATTATTAATTTTGCCACAATTTACTGTTCATTATTGCCGCACAACTTTCTAGAAATTTCCATAAATTACCGCGAAAATTTCCATAAATTACCAAATTCCAAATTTTTAATAATAATTTGGGCTTTACATATTTTTATGAATTATATAGCGAAAATTTCTATAAATTTCCATAAATTACCGAAATAATAATTTTTAAATGAAATTTACGCTACACGGAAAAAAAAAGTTCCCAGATATTTCAGGAATTATTTCCTAACTCTTGGATACGTGGTAACAGCTCTGAACTAGCGTCGAACATTCAATGGTAATCAATGAATGTTTGAAAGAAATTCGGGAACTGTATTAGAAATCGCTGTAAATAGTCCAATAGTCTTTTTTTCATTTCTTTCTCATGTAAAGTCCATGGCACTGGCCGCAACTGTTTCTGAAATTTTCGGGAACTCGTCAAGGAATCTTGGTGCGCAGAAACCCAGTGCGCACCAGTCTCAACAAGTCTCACAGTCAGTAAGACTTGCGTGTCTTATATATTTATTTTATGCTGAGGTATTTAACGCTCCTGTTTAGCTCACGTGGATAAGACGCCGGACTTCTATTCCTCGGGTACGCGAGTTCTGTTCCAGCCGCCGTCGATTTTTCTCTCATGGTTTTTTCTATTTCAGAAACTTAATAAAAAATAAAAATTGTATGTGACCTTCAAGGATAAATGTGTGTGTGTGTGTGCGGACGTGTCAAGGAGGGGAAGTGGGAGGGGGGAAGCAGAATCCATTTTTTCTTGCATTCGCCTAATTTTTCAATTTTCTTGAACAGTTCCCGACTTTTTCAAGAACAGTTTGCCGAGAAGTGGTGAAATAGTTATAATTTGTAGAGAAATAGTAAATGACATATTTAAACGAGGCAACCTTTAGTTCTCTGTGAACTACCCGCCGTATCCAAGAGTTAAGAACGAAATTCCCGAATAATCTTCGAACTTTTTTTTTCCGTGTATAATATTTTTTTAAATTACCGCAAAAAATTTTTTGACAGAACCTGTCCAAACAGTGAATTTGTTAATTATTATACTTGTTTACAACAAAAATTATAAACAATTTTTCCGGCCCGCTATAAATTTTTCTTTCTGGAGCCTTTATCTTCAAAAAAATTTATATATATATATATATATACATTGACGGTGAAGTAGACGCGGTCAGTCTCTGCAAAACGTGAACACGCAAACATAATGTGCAGATAAGTAAAACCATTGGATCGTGCAAATTATTGCAAATCACCTCCTCGTCATGTATACTTTCTCAATTCCAGGTTCGCCAATTCGAAGGCCTGGCGATATTCTCTAACCCCTTTCGACCTCGATTGCAGTTCTCTCCAAAAATAAAAAAGTCACGGTTTCGCACAACTTTTATATATATATACACTGTAAAAAAGACCAATGTTGAATTACAATCGGGTCGTTAATTTTAAATTTTCCAGTTTGTAATTTTACTACGGTACACGTAATAATTTAACACCCATATAGTATTTTCACAATTAAAAAGTAAAATTATTACGCTTATCGTTGTAAATGTGTCACGCGTTAGTAAATGTACATCCCGAATGTTTAATCATTTCGTGATACATTGGAAACTTTTCGCTTCACGTATAACGTTGTATGTTAGCAACCCAACCGTAAAAATATTTTCGTGTGTTAAGTAACTTACAGCTGATAGTTTTACCGACAGTATGTAGAATTATGTAGCTGTCTGTAAGTATACATTCGAATATGATATTTTTTGCCCGAATGTTTTTCTACACTGCGTGACGATGAAGTGGCATATAAGAAACTATGCGCATAGGCAAACGTTAATATTTTAATTTTAATTTATTAAAATTTCGACAATTTTAAGAATTTAAAGATTAAAGGAAATTTGTAAAGGTAAGTTCAAATTCTTAACATTTTTCATTTCTTAAATTTGAAAGATTTCTTTTTAATTTTTCATATATATCAAAGTTAATAAGGTAATGTCTTTTAACCTAAAAAGAGACACGTTTTTAATGATTTTTTATACTTAAAAAATTTTATTCAACTGTGTGAATTTTCTGTATGAAAATAATTTTCAAACATAAAAAATTTTTTCAGAATATCTTCATGGACTCTATTGCTTAAGCAGCTCGTATTTTTTTAAAATTAAAGTGGAAAAAGTATTTGTTTTTCCTGTTCTGTTGGAGAATTCGTTAACTTTGTACAAATGACAAAAAAGCTACAAATGTGATTTGTATATTATAAATATTTAATATATTTATTTATTTCTTACGTTTTTCCTTTATTTCCTTTTTATAATTTAACCTTTATGTAATACAAAATAAATATAAAAAAAAGAATAATTTTAAAATGCAGCGAAATTATTATGTAAAATTACCGACGAGTGGTCGATTTACAATTTGATGCGAAATCACATAAGAGAGGTTATGTTACGAACGGTAAGTAAGTTAACATTCGGGCTGTAATAGTACTACGTCATACGTGAAGCGAAAAGTTTCCAACGTTACACGTTGTAAATTTACATTGGGCTTTTTTACAGTGTATGTATATACTCAAGTATAAAATAGACTACCAATGCAACTCTCTCTCTCTCTCTCTCTCTCTCTCTCTCTCTCTCTCTCTCTCTCTCTCTCTCTCTCTCTCTCTCTCTCTCTCTCTCTCTCTCTCTCTCTCTCTCTCTCTCTCTCTCTCTCTCTCTCTCTCTCTCTCTCTCTCTCTCTCTCTCTGCTCACTGGTCACTGGTCACTCAATAGACTGCCTATACTGGTTGAAAGAAACCCTTCAGACAATAGACCAGGTACTCGAGCAGACCTTTCGTCCCTGTTTATAACGCAGAAAATCTAACGCTATTGCTTTCTTTCTCTTTCGAGGATAAGTAACATTAGACTGTCTCTCTTTACCTAATTTGCATATCAACTCGTTTCATATTAAGGAAAGTATGAGTAGAAAGATAAAAAAATTTGAGGGAGGACCATTAGTTTAGAATTTGAAAATAAAAAATGTAGATTGAACAAAATAAAATTAGAATTTGAATAAATATTGAGAGGTTTGGTCGCCAATTTTTCCTTGCGTCAAACTTCTCTTTGTACAAAAAAGCAAATCGATGAAAAAGACAATTGACAAACATCCGTTTGATAGAATTGATTTTATTGGTTGGCTTAGGAGAAAGTAACTAGAAATGAACATAAATATTTAAAAATAAAATTTTGAAAATAATTAATTAATAAATTAATTTGTTGAAATTATTAATTATTAAATTAGAATAATTACTGAAAATTGAAGCGTTTTAAATGAATGAAAAAATTATTTTCAGTATTCTCTTAAAGTGAAAGGTAAGTAGAAAAATAATAAATTTAAATAATATTAAACAATTTAAACTATTATTATTAATTAAATTAATTATTATTAATTAATTTAAAATAAAAGAAAACTAGCCTAAATAAAATAAGAAAAATAATTTCTGTGACCTGTTTAACACAAGGTAAGTGCAAATAAATTTATTAAAATAAATAAACTTTCCAGGTTAAGTAGGGTTAACTTGTTTACATTTTACAGTTTTTATGAAAATAAAAAATAAAAATTTAATTAATCTCATTAACTGTAAATTGTTTTTGGGAATATTAAATAAAAATTTAAAAACAATTTACTGCTCTTTGATGAAATGGAAATTAATCATAAAAAAATGACAAAAAGTTTAAAGTTTACAAAAAAAAATTTTTCTCTAAATTTGAAGTTAGTGAATAATAAATATTTGTACATACAATAAATAATTACACCTTGTAAAGAAATAATTAGTGCTTAAAAATAAAGCGTAAATTTATTAATTTAATTTATTATTGCTTATTTAATTATAAAATTTAATTACTTTTTAACAAATTAAATTCTAAAATGAATTTCAACATTTTACTTTTGATTATTGATTTTTCTATTGATCCATTAGCAGCTGCCATCTCGCGGACCTTTTAATCATTATAAATTTATTTTTTCTTTGTCTTTTATGAGTATTTTTTTTAAATTATTAAACTGAGGAATTAAATAAGTTTAATGTTTTTTTAATTTCAGTTTATTAATAAAATAAAATAGATTCATCCTGAAATTAATATTTTTATTAATTTCAGTAACAATTCTTTTTTCGGCTGTTAAAATAATGAATTAAGTAATAAAAGAAATATTAATTTATTAATTACTAAATATTTTAACTAATTATTGTTCATTAATTTAATTTATTATTTCAATTATTTATTGTTAATTATTTGTGATTAATAAATTAAATTAATTATTAATAGTTGATTAATAAATAATTAATTATTAATTTACTTTTAATTTTTTTCTTTCACTAAATTAATATTAAATACGTTAAGTAAATTTTATTATTTTCTCAATTAATTACGATGAAAAGTAAATAACAATATCTTTCTTATAAATAAACATTTTTCTAATAGTCCAATAGCAGCGCTGCCATCTCGTGGGCTTTTCATCATTACAATTCATTTTATCGTTGTTATGTATGAACATTTTTTTCGCTTTAAAACTGTTTTACGAATAAACAAAACAATTTTTATGTCTTTTTAATTTCAGTCGAATAATAGATAAAAAAATTGATCCTGAAATCAATCTTCTGATTGATTTCGGGATCAATTTTTTTTAGACTGCTAAAACGATTTTCGCATAAATAATGCAAAACTGTAAAGGCTAACATCACTTGAGACAGTACAGTGGTATCCATTTCAGACTCGTAATTTAAAAATCTTCGTTCGACTCTGGGGTCGGATAAAAATTTTTTTCTTTTTTTTACAAATTTGATTTATTCAATTTTTGGTAATACAAATCGTTATCATTATGTTAATTATTAAATAATTTAATTTATTACTGTTAGGCAAATTAAATTATTATTATAATTTTATTTAATTAATTTTTATTAATTAATTTAATTTATTATTATTAACTCAATGTTAATAAATATTTTTAAAAAAATGTTATTACCATTAGTCAATAAAATTAAATGAAATTAAAAATCAATTACAATATCGTATAAATAAACATTTTTCTAATAATCCAATAGCAGCTGCCATCTCGTGGCGCTTTTCATCATTATAAATTTATTTTTTCGGAAAATTTCCGGAAATCTTAGGGAAATTTATTTCTTTAACGGAAATCACATGGGAAACTTTCCGGAAATCTTTCGGAAATTGATTTTTTTAAACTGAAATCACTTTGTAAATCTTCCGAAAATTGATTTTTTTAACGGAAATCACTTCGTCAACTTTCCGGAAATTGATTTTTTTTACGAAAAGCACTTCCGGAACTTTCCGAAAATTGATTTTTTTTAACGGAAATCACTTGGAAAACTTTCCGGAAATCTTTCGGAAATTGATTTTTTTAATGGAAATTACTTGAGAAACTTGTCGGAAATCTTTCGGAAATTGATTTTTTTAAACTGAAATCACTTCGGAAATCTTCCGAAAATTGATTTTCTTAACGGAAATCACTTCGTCAAATTTCCGGAAATTGATTTTTTTTACGAAAATCACTTCGGGAACTTTCTGGAAATTGATTTTTTTAACGGAAATCACTTGGAAAACTTTCCGGAAATCTTTCGGAAATTGATTTTTTTAATGGAAATTACTTGAGAAACTTGTCGGAAATAGATTATTTTTTACGTTCAATTTTTTCTGGAAAAAATTACTTGCTTTGACAACCTCTTCCCATACTTCGAAAAAATTAATAAAATTCAATAGAAAAGAGAAATAATTTGTCGAAATTCATTTTAGCTGTTTCCCATACTTTGCCAGAATCTTCCCATAAATATAGAAATAAAAAAATTGTCAGTACCCATAAAGTTTCCAAAGTGATTTCCGGAAAACAACCGGTAGAAAAATCGACTTCTAGAAGAAAGTTAAAGTCCAAAAAAGAAACAATATCCGAAAGAAATTAAAGACCAGTTTCAGAATCAGATTAAGAATTTGTTTTTGGTTCAGTTTTAATATCAGACTGAGGACTTGTTTGGGGACCAGTTTGAAACTCTGATTCAGGTCATGTTTTAGAACTATTTTAAGTACCAGGTTTAGGATTTGTTTTAGAACCAGTTTTAGGATTAGATTGAGCACTAGTTTTAGAATCAGACTCAACCTGAAAATCAAACTGGTCCTAATCAAACTGATACTAAACCTAGACCTAAAACAAATCCTCAATCTAAATCTGAAACTGGTACTCAAACAAGTCATAAATCTGATACTAAACTAAAGCTATTTTTAAATTTATTAGATTTTTATAGACAAAGTACTTTTCCACGAAGATTTTTCTACTAAAAATATTTTACGGCTATTCCGAGCAGAAAATGCAAATGCTACTTAACGTTCAGGTTGACTTTTCTCATAAAAAAAGAAAAACAATTATTCTTTGCAAAGCTATTTTTAAATTTTATTAAAAAATTTTTAATTCTTTTAAAATTTTTTTAATTATTTTTTATTTTTAAATTTTTTTAAATTTCTTAGATTTTTATACGCTAAGTACTTTTCCATGAAGATTTTCCTACTGAAAAAATTTAACGACTATTATAAACAGAAAATGCAGAAGTTCCTTGTCGTTCAAGTTGACTTTTCTCATAAAAAAGTAAAAACAATCAGTAAAATAATTCTTTGCAAAGTTTTTTTAATTTTAGTGGAATTTTTTAGACTAAGTACTTTTCCATGAAGATTTTCCTACTGAAAATATTTTACGACTATTCCGGACAGAAAATGCTGAAGTTCCTTGTCGTTCAAGTTGACATTTCTCATAAAAAATTAAAGACAATTAGTAAAATAATTCTTTGCAATGTTTTTTAGGGTTCCGTACACCATGGGTGTACTGACGGAACCCTTATGATATCACTCGTGTGTCCGTCCCAGCCACGCAAAATGGACTGTCCCCCCCCTTAACTTCTACAAATCTCAACCTGGTGAGTTGAAATTCGGTAGGGATCTTCAGTTTTAAGTGAAGATTACAGGAAAAATATAGCGAACCCGATAGACAAACATATTTGCGAACTAGGAGGGAAAGAAATTCAATTTTTTCGAAAAAAATGCTAAAAATGACCCTGTCCCCCCCTTAACTTTTACAAATCTCAACCTAGTAAGCTGAAATTCGGTAGGGATCTTCAGTTTCAAGTGCAGATTACAGGAAAAATATAGCGAACCCGATAGACATACATATTTGCGAACTAGGAGGGAAAGAAATTAAATTTTTTCGAAAAAATTGAAAAAATTACGTTGTCCCCCCCCCCTTTAACTTTT